GCCCCCAACTCATGGCGACTCTAGGAATGAGAGATCTCCAGATGGTCCCTGACCTCAACAGCTCTGCTCAGCTCTTGCAAACTCAAGCCTGTGGCTTCCTTGGGGGAGTCAGTCCCTCTCGTATGGAAGTCTTCCTCTTTTCCTGCTGCCTTCAACTTTTCCCAGTCTGATTGTCTTGCCCAGAGAATCCTGCCTTCTCAGGAGGTGCCCAAAGGAGGACAGCCTCAGTTGCACTATTTTTTCTGCCTCCAAGGATCAGTTCCGGCTTGAATAAGGACAGGCCCACTGAATCCGTGAGGATCTGGTGACTCAACTCCTCCATCAGGCCCATTGCTTTGGTGCACCTCCCCGGATTATGACTTACTACACTAAGCAACCAGATTTCAGCCAGTTGTGGTATAATGGATTGCACATGAGACTAGAATTCAGAGGAACTGAGTTCAAATCCTGCTTTGACCATGGATATTCATTGGGGGTGTGCGTACTGGCGATGGTGAAACCACTCCTTAAACATCTCACATACTTTAAAACACATGAATTCCCAAAGGCAGCCCTTCCTATTCAGAGCTTAAGAGAACGTTCCTCCTTTGGACTACAACTCCCAGCATCTGGCTGGGGTTCTGGGAACTGTAGTCCCCGGGAGCTTCTCTCTCCCCCCCCAGCTTGGAACCAATTTTCCTGGACCTTGCCCCCTGCCTGCTTGCTGAATTCCCACTCCGCACATGAATCTTCAGCGCCGTCCACTGTGCCCCGTCTTCCCCTGCCCAGAAAGGACCCCGGTGCTCACAGGATGCTTGACGGAATAGTTCATGATGATGAAATCGTTCCCCATGGGCAGCCAGGAACGCAGCGTGATGACGTCACGGTTCTTCAAGGGTTTGGGGCATTTCCCTGCCGGGAGAGCAGGAGAAAAGAGAAGAGAAGAAAACAGTAACAGACGGACGTGCCCGCCTGCCATGAAGAGACCGAGAGGGAGCATCTCCCTTTTAAAGGGGAGACCTTCAAGACCACCGAAGGGACAGTGCCCTCCCTCCCTCTCCCTTCCCGGGGGGGCAGGAGACTGACTAAGGGGGCGCAGGAAGACCGCCTGGCAGTGCCCACCTCTTTCCTCTTTCTAAGGCACTGCCCGCCCCTCCGGATCTGTCGCCTGAGCCTCCTGCCTCAGTTTGCCCACTGGCTGAGCTGGCCGTGCGTGATCTTGGAGTTCTTCTTAGGAGTCCTTGCCCAAAATTATGAGGGCGATGCAGCGGGAAAGGAGGATGGAGGAGCCAATAAAACAGTGGCCTTTTGGCTCCCGGAGGGCCTCTCCGAGACCACAGACCCAGCGTTAACCTCTGGGGTCAAAAAACGTGATCCGCTGGCCCTTTTAAAGAAGAGGATGGTGCTTCCACCCGAAGGCACCATTCAAACACCTCAAAATATTGATTTATTTTTTTCAAAATGGAAAATGAATTTCTGGCCACTTTTAGTTTCATCAGCCGGGGGTAATGAAGATGGGGAGGCCTTCCAAAATGTATAGTTTTTAAAATCATGTTTTAAAATCGGTATAATGCTAGGGTTTTACATCTAAATTAATTTGTGTTGACTAAGGGCTGATTTTTGAATAGGCCACCTTGGGTTCGAAGAGGAAAACGCAGGATTAAAAAAATCAAATAAATAAAAACCATCACCACCTCTATCACCACCAGCCACTTTCTGGCGCTTTTAAAGCCACCCGCATGGCCCCCGTAAGACCTATAGTGTGTTTTATTTATTTTATTATATTTTATTTGTTTGTTTTATTGATAGGCTGCCCTTTCTCCCAAGAAGAGGACTCCTCGTTAGGCTCTGCAGCTGCCCAAGTGGCCCTTGCTGGGTGAACTCCAGGCATTCCTCGCTGGGCCTTCCTTCTTTCCTTTCCCGGAGCCCACTCACAGGAGTAGTAACCCACGTCAGCGTTGACCGTCAGCTTCCCGATGTCGAAGGTCTCGATGACGTTGGCGTCCCACTTCTTCCGATACTCGAGGTCATGGAGGACGTCGTAGAGCGTTTCCGCCGAGACGTCCTTGCATTCCATCCTGCACTGGAGAGAAAGAGGAGAAGCGAGGATCCATGAATGGGGTGAGCCAAGGTGGCACGTTTCCCCCCCCCGCAAAGCGAGTCCCTCCACATGCAACAGGGCTCCCTCTGGCACAAGACGGCAGAGGACAAAAACAGAATCCTGGAAGGACGGCACTGGAAGGGGCCTCGAAGGTCATCCAGTCCAACCCCTTGCTCGAGGCACGAATCTCAACCAAAGCAGATCTGACAGATGGCAGTCCAATTTTCTCTTGAATGCATTGGAGCCCTCAACACCTCCCAAGGTCATCGGTTCCACTGTCGTACTGCTCTAAGAGTTAAGAAGTTTGTCCTGATATTCATCTTGAAATCTGGATTCTTGGCTAAGCAGCAAATCAGCTATCATTTTCTCCATTTTGGCTTTATTCTTGTAAAATAAATCATGACACAGTGTAATATGTCACGTGTTGTTCATCGGAGGTTGTAAAGGTAAAGGTAAAGGTTCCCCTTGACAATGCTATCATTTTCTCCATTTTGGCTTTATTCTTGTAAAATAAATCATGACAAAGTATAATATGTCACGTGTTGTTGTTCATCGGAGGTTGTATTTACCTAATTTCCAGACCTGCTAAGGACCAGATGATTTTTATTACATCCTGGCAGGTAAAAGCATAGAATTCAAAGAGGGCGTACAGTACTTCCCTTTTCACTTGACTGTGTGGTCACGTGGCCAGCGTGACTAGACACGGAACGCTGTGACCTTCCCACTGAGGTGTTACCTATTTATCCACTTGCATTTTTACATGCTTTTGAACGGCTAGGTTGGTAGGAGCTGGGACAAGCGACGGGAGCTCACTCCATCACGTGGATTCTATCTTACGACTGCTTGGTCTTCTGACCCTGCAGCATAGGCTTCTGCGGTTTAGCCGGCAGCGCCATCACGTCCCCTTCTCGGAGGTTGTATTTACCTAATTTCCAGACCTGCTAAGGACCAGGTGATTTTTATTACGTCCTGGCAGGTAAAAGCATAGAATTCAAAGAGGGTGTACAGTACTTCCCTTTTCACTTGACTGCATAATTATGTTTTTAAAAGAGTAGTGCCCTTTTTGGACGAACAGATCTGCCAACTGAATGTATACATCTGTAGTTAAGATATGCATTTCAAACTAATGGATTGCTTTAATTCAAATAGACCTGCATGCTAGAAACACCTCCATATGGATACAAAAGCACTACTGAATAAAGCAGGAGGGAAGTTTGATTCCCACCGAGCATCTCCTGGGGGAAGAGCCAGCCAGGGTGGCCTTGGGCCAGCTGCAGAGCCCCAAAATTGACCCCAGAAAGAAGTACGTACTGGTTAAACGCCTTCTGAATAGCCTCTACCTGGAAACCCCTTGAAGGAGGGGTTCGCCATGAGTCAGAATCCACTTGGCTTTTTTTAACTTCTGTTAAATATTAACCGCTTTTTAGTTTATGAACATTTGCTGTTTTGGTTCTAGTTTTTAATTTTTAAAGTGCAATAACGGTTTCTGGAAAGCAAAGACGCTTATGAATCAATCTCACCGAACAACACAACTCTATGCCTAAGGGCTCAGGGGGAAAAAATTGGCTTTCACGGCGCCTACTCGTGGGTAGGAGAAAAGAGAATTGCAGCCTTCATGGATAATGCTTACAGATAATCACACGCGTGCTTATGTAAGTGCTTCCTAGACTATAATTAATGTCATTGGCAACCTAGAGAAGATTAAATATATTATTAGCATCAGCTGAAATGGCTTTGTTTTTCTGATCACTGAATCACCCGATGCCAATTTTTTAGTAACGGATGACATCTCTCGTCTTCTTGCTTTCGTTCTTACATAATTTAGTCCTCACTGCTTGAGCCTGGATTCATTTCGTGAGACTTCTCCGCCTCCTGAGCTTAACATGTTTCTGGCTCCCTGTCCGGTTCACCTTCCTTTTTCAAGGACCATTCAGCCCCCTGCCTTGGAAGGACCCACAAGAGGGTAAACCCACCGGGTTTGCCCACCCTCAGGTTCCTTCAGCTGCACACAGCGTTCTTCACGAAGAAGCTCTCTGTGTGACCTGAAAGCTTGCATCCTGCCTTGGCTCCCATCCTGATTTGCCAGACTACGTTTCCTCTCCGTTTTTGGAAGGAGGGCTCCCTCTTAGGAAGCTGCAACCTGAATTGAATCCCTGGTGTACTCCCTGGTGAGTAAACTTGCCATTGAGGTTATCAAGTCAGTCATGCAAACAAGCATCCGTTAGGACTACAGTCTTCGGGGGGAAAGAAGACGAAAAAAAAAATACAGAACGATCCTCATTTTGTTCCAAACGAACTTTAGCCCAGGCAACCCTCCCATCTAGCTAGGTGCTAATGAACTGAGCCTCCGCAGACCTTATTTCCTGCAAGTGTCTAGGATTACAGACTCCATCATCCACAGCCAGGGAGAGCCTCCTTTAATTGGAAAGTGGAGGGGGGGAGGCATATTGGAGGCCTTCCACAGATCTTTGCCATGGAGCTCAGAATCTGCCCCAAAGGGTTCAACTCCCCTCCTCCCTTCGTGTGTGTGCTTAAGCTGGCCTAGAATCTGAATCCAGGTCTTTTGGCAGCAGCCTCTCGACCGACCGGGAGGGGAGCTGAATGAATCACAGGCCAGGTCTTTCCCCCCCGCACACACACACACCCGTGCAAGACCTTCTGTGTTCTTCCTGAAACAGTCCCGCATGGACCCCATTCATCCATCCATTCGGCTCAATGCCAAGAACAGGACCACAACACCCATCGTCCCCATACAGCACAGCCAGGGGCGCTTCCTTGGGAAGAGCAGAGGCAAAAAGCTCTTTTTGGGCTACCCAACGTGCTTTCTACCCGAGGCTGGCAGGGGTGGGCTGGGCAACCCAGCACGGCATGTGCCAGGCCTCCGTCCTTCCGTCCCCTTCTCTCCCGTCATCCGAAGAGGAGGCTGGCCATCATCCCTCCCGGCCCCTTGAGCCCTCGCAGGTGGCTGAGCCGTCCCATCCCACCCGCTCTGCCTTCTCTTTCTCAGGTCTGGGGCAGCCTCTTGTTTGCAGGGGAGAAACTGGGGGGGGGACCGGCTGCCCGGCGGGCAAAGAGGTGGCACTCCAAGCAGAGAGGACCACGAGCAGCAGCAGACGCCGCCGGACGAAATGCTAAGACGAGGAGGGCTCTGGGGCCGGGGGCTCCTTATACCATCCGTCAAGGCACCCTCCTGCAGAAGGCGAAAGACCAGGACCTCCGCAAAGAGCTTCTCAGGTTCCTTTGGGGTGCAGGGTGCGGCCCAGAGCCGTTCCGAGATGGCCCGCTCTCACTCTGACGTCCTGGGTGCTGGTTTCAGAAAAGCCTTCCCTGCCCCGTTCCCCCCCCAGCTCATTTTCAGCCCCTCTCCAGGGTCCCCCCCTCTTTAGGGCGAAGCTTTCGTTGACTCCCTCCCTAAGTCACCTGCATGGTTTTAACCCCCTACTCTCTGAGAGTGAGCAGAATGCCCCCCCGCCCCCGCCCCGCTCGCCCGCCTGCCCAGGGCACGTTTCTTGCCCCCAGCTGCGCTTCTCTGGGCAAAAGGAAATACGAAAACAAACCAACAAAACAAACCCACAGGTGGGCTCAGTGTGGAACCAAACTGGCCATTGCAGGGTCAGACCCCCCCTCCCGGCATCCTGCCTCGTCCCCCTGTTCCCTCCACATAAGCCAAAGGTTCTTTTCAGGAATAAAGTGTGGTAAAAATATTTCAAACCATCGATCAATCCATTATTCAATATGGCAGCAAAGCAAAGCTCCGGGCCCGACAATGATTAGTTACCGCTCCACCCCATGTGTGGGAACAGCACATGCCTCGATCCATGCGCGAGGGCCACTGCCCCAAAGGTGCCCACTGGGTTCGGTAATCTCTCCTCTTCTGTCACGGCCTCCGTCAACTCCAAATGCCCAAAGCGGCTTCCGCTGGACTTTATTAAAGCTGGAGAAGAGTCTTTAATAAAGTCAAATTTATGAAGACAAGGGAGGCACCCGCTCCTGCTAGTCTTCTGCACAGGTGAGGTGGAGGGGGGGGTTTCTGCTCACCTCCTGCCAGTTCCCAAGTTCTGATCCCAAGTTTGCATCGGGGGAGCCCAGCTCCCGTCTGCTGGTGTCCCGGGGGGGTCTTCAGCCCCCTCCTCAAAGCCATTCTGCCACACCAGTCGCCTTTGAATATCCACTTCCTCCTACCTCTGGAGTTCCACCTGGCGCCTCGGTCTCCAGCGCCTCCATGGGTCTGGAGAGGGGACCGGGGAACCCAGCTGACCTCGGAGGTCTCCGTGGGGTGGATGCCGGAGCTTCCCCATGGTGTCCTTGAAGGGACTCCACCAAGACACCACCATGTCCAGCCAGAGGGCTTCTGGCTCCGGGGTGCAGCCCACCTGCCCAGAGGTGGGGCCCAGATCCTGCTCTCCTTCTCCCCACACGTCTCCCTCCGGCCAGTGAGTGGATCCACCTTTATCCTTCTCCTCCTTTATCCCTGGCCCCCATCATCCCCTGCAGGGCTCCTCCGCTCCATCTGCAGCCCACCTTTCCCTTCGTCCACCCTCCAGAAGCCTGGAGCCAGGGTTCCCATCTAAGTGGGGGGGGGCGCCAAGGGCAGACGGCCCGCTAGAGGCGCCAGGAGCAAACCCCCCCCCAACCCCATGTTATGCCAGTTCACGACCATGCAAGACTCAAAACCTCTCAAGAGGGTGTGACCTTTTCTGCATGCTGTGAACCAGCACTGGGGGGGGGGGCTGGGGAACTCTTGTTTCCATGCCATGAAACGGAGGATTGTTTTTTTGGTGGTCTGCAAAAAAAGGAGAGAAAAAAAGCATACCAAGACCAAGAAGCCTCATGGAAAACACTGGGCCAAAGCGGATTCTCGCTTCTAAGGTGCCCAGGTTGAGCCAAAATCCATGACGGCCAGTGAGGGGGGGAACGCCCAACCCTCTGGCGAACACTTCTGGAGCTGGGTATTGGCACCAACCTCAGGAGATGGTAGGGAGGATATGGGTGCCCCTTGTTATATCCGGGGGTCTCTCAGCCCCCAACCACTACCAGAAACACACACGCATGCACAAACACACACACACACACGGCTCCTTGTGTGCAATTAGCAGCGAGACGGCCACGTGGCTTCCCAGCCTTTCCAGCCCACGGATTGATTCCTGAGCTCTCTCCGCTCTCTCATTATTCATCACGGCTATCACTTCTGCCAGCTTACAAGCCGGGGCCACTAAATATTTCATAACCCCCCCCACCCCCACGGGGTTGTTTGTCATGGCCACTCTCTCGAACAAAGGAAGGAAGAGGCCTCCCGACCCCATCGGCGGCCCAGCAGAAAGGTTGCAACCCGAGGCGCACTCCGATACCCACTCCGATAACGGGCGGAAGGAACATCAGGCAACCGGGAGCCAGCCACCCACCCTCAAAGGCTTTTAAAGGCAGACCGGCAGGCCTTTTGTTGGGGGGGCGCTCCTCATCTTGTGTCGCTCTGCCATTGTGCCCCTTTCAAAGGCGCTCGGGCAGGTCTTTCCACTGCCCACCGACGCCGGGCGAAACCAGAGAAGCCTGGTTGACCTGAATGAGAGAGAGGAAGCCCCCACCGTTTGGAACACTGCCGAAGGGGTTCTAATTCAGACCCCAGATGACAAAGGGCATGGAGGCTATAAAGAGGGCACTGAGTGGCCCTTGGCTGCCCAGGGCCTGGATCCGACCAAGCGCAGGGGCTGCCTCTAGGCCCCCGGCCCCACGATCGACGTTGGCTCTCCAGGGCTTCTGGGGGACCCTTCCCAGCCCATCCAAGGGGGGTTATATGGAAAGGTGCCCTCATCCACAGCTGACCGCGCTACCTCACTCTCTTGACCGCACTTCAGTGGAGCTGGTCTGCTGCTCAAGACACTGGACAGAGAAAGTAAAAAAGAAAAAAGAAAGAAAAAGCCGAGAATGGATATTCTCCTTTTAGACTTTCACTCGAACATCTCCACCTGCAGCTAAAAATACTCCTTGTCAAATCCCACCCACCCCTCTGCTCTCCAGGCTAGGAGGATGGGCAGGATAAGAAATTTCATCCACCACATGAACCCACCTTGTCCTTGAAACAAGCCCTTCCTGGGGGTGCTGGACTACAGTTCCCATCATCCCGCAGCCCAGCACCTCCACAGAAGTCTTGCGTCAATGGCTGCATCCTGTGCTCGTGCACACGGCATGCCATTACATCTGAAACCAGAAGACCTTCCGGAGCTTCCGCTGACTGCCGCCAAGGCCCCTTTGGAAAAAAACAGCAAGACAGGGGTGCGGGATGCACCCTTTCTCACCAGAGTCAGACCATGAGACCCAGAGGCCTTGAGCAAAGGAGGTGGGGTGCTGTTCACTGCCCCTAAACCACGCCAGCTCAGAACAAGCTGGGGAACTCTGTGTTGGTATAGCCTTTGTGTTGGTATAGCCTTGGCCCACGGATAACCTTGGCCGATGCACCAACGTCACTGGATTCCTGGCAGACGCCACGTCCCCAGATAGCCCTAAGAGAAGGCTGAGGCAGCCAAGCAAGGCCCTTTGGTTGGGCAGTAGCTGGTGGCAGATGCCAGAGGGTGGCCGGACCTCATCATCCGAAGGCTACTGTGGCTCAGCAGAAGAACAGTTGGCCTGGCATGCACGGCGAGAGTCAGATCAGCCATTCCCAAATATTCAAAACTCATCAAATGTCTCTTCCTTCAGGATTCAAAAGGCAATTGCTAGCATTTCTTGCCGCGACTGGAATGCTGGAATGCCTTGGTTTACTTTGGACTCCAATAAACCTTATGCCGTCCCTTTCTATACACCAAAAGTATAGTGATCGGCCCCATGTTCTGACATGCAAAGGCTATTTGGAGCATCTTCTCACGTTCAAAATCAGGAGAGAGGAGGATTTGAGGAAGCAGAACTGTTTCAGCCCTTCAGGAGGTCAACGGAGACAAACGAAACGCAGAGAAGCAACGCAAAATAAAGAGAGGTTGCTTTGAAGCAGGCAAGCTTCGAGAACGGCCGGCTAGGTGGCAGCAGTGGAAATTCACGAAGGCTGATCTCATGTCTCCTGACTCATGTGCACACGTCAGCACTGGGCAGCGAGGAAACCGCTCCGTGCCAGGGAGAAGTCACTAGCTAAAAGGAAGGAAGTGTGCACACAAGCATGCACCTTCCCGTGCACACACTCAGACACACACTAAGCACCTGTGTGAGTTCAACAACAAGGAAACAACAGTGGGGCAAGCCCTCCCTCCCTCCCCACTTTCAAAATATTTCTTTCTTTCTTTCTTTCTTTCTCTTTCTTTCGTCACTGTTTTTCTCCCCATAGGCAGCTCACAGCAGACAAAACAAGATTTCAAAACACCCTATAAATAGAAATATCCTATTTTTAAAAAACTATTCAACATATATAGCTTAATTGGGGCCTGCAATGTCTTTATTACAGCATTCCAATATCCCCAGAACTGCGAGCTTTTGAGCACTCAGGAATCTTTTCTCCAGGCGGGGTGTTGGAGATTCGGGGTGGGTCGGGGCCGGTGAGAGAGAAAGCAACCCCACAGTCCTCCCGGTGCAGAATCCCAGTTAAGTTTTAGTACGGAATATTAGCCAAAAGTCCAAGAAGCAATCCAGTATCTGGCGTCCAGCACAAAGGTCGGTTCCAATGGCTCGCCTTGAGCCTGAAGACCCTCTGTTTCTGTCTTTTCGTTTTCTGCAATTATATTTTGTTTTCCTGTTAGAAGCGTGTGGTTTCTGTCCTTTGTGTTTTCAGTTTATTCATCTGTCGGTGGCGCTTTGTGTTGGGTTGCTCCAACCCGTCCCCTTTACAGGGTTGGTAAGGGAGACGTTCCAAGAGGAGAAACTTCTCATGATGTAAAGTCGTTGATTGCCAGCGCTTGTAATTTGTTTGTTGTTGTTTAGTCCTTAAGTCCTGTCCAACTCTTCGTGACCCCATGGACCAGAGCATGCCAGGCCCTCCTGTCTTCCACGGCCTCCCGGAGTTGGGTCAAATTCATGCTGGTTGCTTCCATGATATTGTCCAACCATCTCATCCTCGGTCGTCCCCTTCTCCTCTTGCCTTCACACTTTCCTAACATCAGGGTCTTTTCCAGGGAGTCTTCTCTTCTCATGAGATGGCCAAAGTATTGGAGCCTCAGCTTCAGGATCTGTCCTTCCAGGGAGCATTCAGGGTTGATTTCCTTCAGAACGGATAGGTTCGTTCTCTTTGCAATCCAGGGGACTCTCAAGAGTCTCCTCCAGCACCACAATTCAAAAGCCTCAATTCTTTGGTGATGAGCCTCCCGTAATTGTTACTTCCAAACAATAATGATGCCCACCACTGTTGTCTACTCATGGTTTTCATGGTTCCATGTCTTCCATGGTTCTAAGTTTGGGTCTTTTTCAAGGAGAAAGAGGAGGTAAAAATATTTTAAACAAACAAACAAATAAATTTCAGATACTTTTCTAGGGAGAGGGGGCAGCTTCTGCAGATTTGGTTCTTGCAAAGGGATCATGGCCACAGGCTAAAGGAAAGGCTTTCAGGGGTCCCAATGTCCCGGTCCTGTATCTGATTGCTAGACTAGCGAGTTATCTAAAGATTTGGAAAGACTTCTGGAGCATAAGGAGATGCTTGCCCGTGGATCGGCCTGCCTTGGCCGAGTCTCCTGGACCCTCTCTCTCATGGAAGGCTCTTGAGCCGAGGTGAGACGGCCGTCCATGAAGTTTCCTGCTTCAGGAACGAGGAGAGGATGCGGGTTGATTCACTTGCTGAATGGAGAGTCTCCTGTAATGTAAGTCCCATTGATTCAATGGGTCTGCTCTAGCTGTCAGGTGAGAGGTAGCAGGTTTTAGGCAGCTGAGAGAACTGCCAAGGGTTCAAAGGTTGGGAAGCAGCCCAGGAGCAACAATGAGGTATATGCTCAAAGGCAGATCAAGGGGACCTCTAAGGAAGAGGGATGAAAGCCAAGGTGGGGGACACAGGGTCCAGCCCCCCAGCACAGCCTTGGCGATGGCGTTCTGGCGGTTCCCCCCCAGCCCTGCTCACTCCACCTGCTGGGGAAAAGGCCAGGAAAGGTTGGCCAAAAGCATCTGATGACTTGGGCTGGCCTCTACCAGATGCCCCGCAGGGGAAAGGGGAGGAAACGAAGGGCCTGGAACGTTTGGGGGAAAGTCGAGGAAGGGGAGAGTCCTCACGGCACAGTGCCTAAACTGCAGTGTTGCAGCCAAAACACGTCTCACGGTCAGCATTTGATCCCAACAGCTCTGACCGCCGACCCGAGGCCAACTAAGCCTTCCATCCTTCTGACGTCGGGTCGGTAAA